GGGGATGGTTATTAGATCATATCTATGCAAGCTTCCTATTGTGAGAATTCAGATTTTTGTCTTGTGATTTATGAGAAAAGTATCACAGCCCTTTAATCCTTAGTAAAATTTTACTTTTTGAAACAATTCACAACACAATGTTGTTTGTATTCTAAAAATTATTATTCTTTTTACAGTGACAGCAGTTCAGAGAAGTTATTAGTATGCAAAGTTTTAAATCGCTTTTGACAAATAGATCTTTTTTTTTTTTATATATGGTGAGTTTTTTTTATAATTAACTTTCTGGTTTTTCTGAAAACTACTTGAATTATTTCTCAGGTATTCCAACTGTTAGGCCTAGGTTTAAGCAAGGGGGAATCTTGTGAATTTTTGTGAGGGGACTTTCTGTTACTATTACTGTAGGGATTGATAGTTATATTTCAGAGTCTGATGCAATTGAAAAAAAACTTTTGACATGAATCAAATGCAGATGTTAATGTTCAGTTTTTTTTTTTTTTGCAGGTGAATCCACTAACCCTGATTTAACAAACTTCGTCTATATTTGGTGATTGTGTTTAGAATGAATGACCATCCAGAGTTGTCATAATTTATGCTAACCAATCCAAAGTACTTTTAAAAATGGTAAGACACTACATCTACAAGTCCATTTAAAACAATAGATACCCTGCAATTCCTGACATACAGCGAGATAATCTTATATGGTACACAATATTTGATATTACTTACTGTCTATTAGTGGGTTGAATACTAAATGGCCCAGAAAACGACATGAATAACGAATTTGTCAGATCATGTATGCTAAGTGGAGTCACTTGCATAAAATAATAGGAAACATCCCTGTTTTTGCTATTTAATTTGAATAAATGATTTATTACAGGTATGAAATCTTCTCATCAGTTAGAAACTTGTTGGTCTATAGATATCGATTTATGTTCCAGTGAGCTGTTAAATGGTGAGTCTTCTTTATCAGTCAACAAACTACCTTGCCCTCCAAGATTGATAATTGACCCTTTCTTTATTCATGCCACCTTAAGGGATGTCCCTTGTGCCACAGGCTGTGCTTGCTTATTGAGGAAATTAACAATGAGGAAGCTAATGCTTCAATCGTAAAAATTTCCCACATTGTACACTGCATACTGTCTTCGTTAACCCAATCAGGTACAGAAAAGTATGACTTAAAACCCCATTTCATATTATATCTATATACATACTGAAAGGGATGCAGTTCTATAATTGTTTGGTAGTGAAATATCCCATTGTTTTTTTTTTAATTTAGTAAATTTTATATTCATTTTCTATTGCAGATATTGAATGTTGTCAGTTTAATTATTGAAATACAACATGTGTTTCAACTTCTTGATAATTGGTGAGTTCCTCTTAATTAAATTGATATTTTTGTAAAATATTCCATTAGGAACAGACTCGCTGACAGTAACACCAATATTTTTACTTGTAAACACTAATTTTGAGCTCTTTATTCGGAATAGTGATAGGAATAGTTGACATTGATCTCTTTCAGCTGGTTTAACAAATAATTAGACAACTTGATCTTTTTAAAATAATTAACATTTCGCTACTATTGTCTGACTCTTCTTGAGTCTCGAGAGTCATTTGTATGTATGATATTGCCTCAAGATCACTTATTTTCACTTATTATTGTAGGTAGATCAATTCATGGCCTAGTAAGAGCAACCAGAAAACACAGGCGGAGCTTTAAAAGTTATGTAAGTTATATTTTATTCTCGTGCATCATCCTATGTAGCAGGTAACCCCCCCCCACTTTCTCCCTTCTTACACACACTCTATAACTTAAAGGGATACATGGTAGTAAGACTGCAAGTAACTACAAGATATTTTATACATGTAGAAGGCTTAATCTGTGCTGGATGTTTTGCGAAATTATCCCTTTACACATGCTTTACAAGAATATTCTAGTATTAAACCACAGAATGATTCTCACAGTACATCTTGTTTCTCTCCTTATATGTAGCTCCTTATATTTGCCCCTGTCAAAGTGCATCAAACCGTCCGTCTGGGTATATTTTATTGTACTCTGGTCGTTTTGACCAATTAAGATCCTGGATCAGTCATGTCTAGAACCTCTTTTCTAATGAATTGTGACAATGATTTTTTTCATTGAAACTTGACCAAGGGAGTTGGTGTTATTTTCTCTTCTGCTCATATACCTGGTAAACTTGCCTAGTAATCACCAAGACATTATAATGTGGTCGTATTTTGTCTTTGCCCCTGTCTGATGGTCCATCCACAATTTGCTTGTGAACACAATAAAGGCTACAGTATTTGATTTTAATGAAATTTTGTGTGATTTGTATTGATGAGAACTTGGTCAAGTTCGAATTTAAAGATTTTTTTCAATCAGCCCTTGACTTGCGAAAAATGTGTTGAAATTTGTTTGTAAACATAATAGAGACTATAGTTTTGATCAGATTTTAATGAAATTTGGTGTGATTTATATTAATGAGGTCTTGTTCAAGTTTGAAATTGAGTATTTTGAGTTATTGCCCTTGACTTTTGAAAATGCGTCAAAATTCGATTGTGAACTTAATAGAGACTGCGGTTTTTATCTGATTTTGATGAAATTTGGTGTGATCATTTATATTGATCAGATTTTGGTCTGGTTTGAATTTGACAATTTTTCGATGTTATTGCCATTGACTTGGGCAAAACGTGTGAAAATTTGTTTATAAACATAAGAGAGACTACAGTTTTCCAATGATTTTAATGAAATTTGGCGTGATCATTTATAGTGATGAGGTTTCGGTTAAGTGAGAATTTGACGATTTTTCAATGAACCGTTAACTTCAGTTTTCATCGTATTTAAATAAAATTTGGTGTAATCATCTATATCAGAGATTTTTCAATAAATATAACTTGAGTTATTGCCATCGACTTAGTAAAAATGCATCAAAATTTGTAGAATTGTGAACAAGATAGAGCTAACAGTTTATGTCAGAATTTTATCTGTTTGTTTAAATCAACAATATCTATGACAAGTTAGATTTTTGGAAGGATTTGACACAGATTGGCGACAACCCTTGATATAATGAAAATTTGGGCGTATCTTGCTAGAAATATTATCCATTTTTTGACACACAAGCCAAGATTGTTGTTGTCAAAAACAATGTTTGCTGGCTTGCTGTCTACCACATTTGTCATACTGAATTGCATCTGTTGGATGTTGAACCTTTTGCTGGGTATAAACCACATCTGTAGGAATGCTACTTTTGAAGATCACATCCAAATATGTCACAGAGAGCCACCCCATATGCTGCATCTGTAAAATTGTCATATTTTGCTAATCATAGACACATTTGTCACACAGCTTCATTCGATGGGGTACCATGTTTGTTGGACACAAGTGGAAATAGACGTACAGGGCCACTCTTTCTGGGATTATGACACATTTTTCGACACAGCCATGCCTGATTGGCTTTTGATGGATAGTCACTTTTGTTGTGCATAAACCACAGTTGTTGAATTTTTCACATAAGTGTTAATTTTAGGAAATCTGCCTTTCACAGTAGGGATGAATTGGGTATTGCCATTTGCTAAATTGGATGGTCGGTCAGTGTGACACTCTGGAAGTGGTCATGCAGTAGGTGAGGGGACCACTTTGCTGCATGATCCTCGAAGGTGGTGTCATGTGTCCTACGACAAAGATTAGAAATGATATAAATCTGACATTATTCATTTTGTCCATACCTTGAGAGGGTTCAAATTTGATGAAAACATGACACGGTTGCTGAATTCGTGGCGACATCTGTAGGCCATATGCTGCATCTGTAGAAATGCCATATTTTGCCAATCATAGGCACATTTGTTGCACAGCTACATTCGATGGGGTACCATGTTTGTTGGACACAAGTGGAAATAGACGTACAGGGCCACTCTTTCTGGGATTATGACACATTTTTCGACACAGCCATGCCTGATTGGCTTTTGATGGATAGTCACTTTTGTTGTGCATAAACCACAGTTGTTGAATTTTTCACATAAGTGTTAATTTTAGGAAATCTGCCTTTCACAGTAGGGATAAATTGGGTATTGCCATTTGCTAAATTGGATGGTCGGTCAGTGTGACACTCTGGAAGTGGTCATGCAGTAGGTGAGGGGACCACTTTGCTGCATGATCCTCGAAGGTGGTGTCATGTGTCCTACGACAAAGATTAGAAATGATATAAATCTGACATTATTCATTTTGTCCATACCTTGAGAGGGTTCAAATTTGATGAAAACATGACACGGTTGCTGAATTCGTGGCAACATCTGTAGGCCATATGCTGCATCTGTAGAAATGCCATATTTTGCCAATCATAGGCACATTTGTTGCACAGCTACATTCGATGGGGTACCATGTTTGTTGGACACAAGTGGAAATAGACGTACAGGGCCACTCTTTCTGGGAGTATGACACATTTTTCGACACAGCCATGCCTGATTGGCTTTTGATGGATAGTCACTTTTGTTGTGCATAAACCACAGTTGTTGAATTTTTCACATAAGTGTTAATTTTAGGAAATCTCCCTTTCACAGTAGGGATGAATTGGGTATTGTCATTTGCTAAATTGGATGGTCGGTCAGTGTGACACTCTGGAAGTGGTCATGCAGTAGGTGAGGGGACCACTTTGCTGCATGATCCTCGAAGGTGGTGTCATGTGTCCTACGACAAAGATTAGAAATGAAATAAATCTGACATTATTTATTTTGTCCATACCTTGAGAGGGTTCAAATTTGATGAAAACATGACACGGTTGCTGAATTCGGGACAACATCTGTAGGCCATATGCTGATTTGCATTTTATTGATACCAAATCTTTAGAAATGATTCATTATAATCACATTTTTTTTTACTTTATAGGAGAAACAAAGTAATGGTTGTGTGTATGGTTGTAAGTTTATTTCATCATTTTCTTTTAACTCATTTTATCTGTTTCATTTTCTTTCAGGAATGATATTGTGATGACATTTGTATCTGAAATTGATGGTCTACTTTAGCTTTTTGCTATTTCAAGTAGCCTACTAGGTATTTTTCAACACGTTGACATATCTTTTTTGATTGGCCACAATTTGATACAAATGTTAGTCCCAATATGGTCTTTGTGCGGTTTCTATAGGTACCAGACTACCAGTATGATGATGCGATGGATGAGAGATGGTGGAGCAAAGACCGCTTTGACTATTTTGTGGCAGGTTATTTATACTTCCTGCCCAATTTCGTCATTGTGGCTTATGCTTTTTTTACAACGTTGTCAGCAGTTTTTAAAGTAGTAAAATCACAGGCTGAGTTCAAATTGTGTTTAAGGAAGGTTCTGATTATCCTCTTTCAATATGGTTTATGTTTTTGGATGATCTTCACCAGTCCTTATAAGCTGCACTCATTTCAAAAGGCATGGTTCAACTGGTTAAAAGCTTTCAAGCAAGAGTCCTATCCTATGCAGGTTGGATACATTCACGACCAATTTGACTGTTTTGTGGTATATTTTTGTAATAATCTTATGCCCAATTTAGTCAAAGTGGTTAGTCTATTATTTCTACTAGTTATTCAAAAGCTGTAGACAGAGAGCAGTGGTAATAAGTTTTTTTGGCAACAGGATTGAAATATTCATCTATTTAGCAGTATCATTCACAAATTTCGAGTGTTTAGAGGTGAGGAGTTATTGCTATTGTAAAGTTGTCAATTGATAAAATCTTGTCTTAAATGAAAACAGGCAAATGATCTGTATGCTATGATTCTGTATAGAACTTTCTTACTTTCTAAAACTTAAGTTGTCCAAACCACCAAAGAAAACATGAAATGACAAGGAAACTACGAAAAAAAATGTGAAACGACCAGGAGCCAAGCTGAAAAAAATGATAGCATACTGTTGCCCTTGTTTTATGATACATGTCTTAAAGTGGAATGATTGCCAAGCAGTGAAATATAATTGAGCACTAGATCACATTCTAAGGAGAGTTAGAGCCACAGATGTCTAAGGCCCATCTACACAGTAAAACAGGTTGTATACAACTTTTGTAATATATTCCTTGTCAGTTTACACAGTATATAAAATTGCATAAATCACTCTCGATTTTTTTACATAAATTCCGGCCAAAATTGAGAATGACCTTTTAAGATTTAAACTTGTGCTCCCATTCGTCAGATATAAAAGTTGGATACAGCTTGCTGTACAGAATAGAACATGTGAAATATACTACTGCTGGAAGCTGTATTAATACAGTGTTACAGCCCTGTTTACACAGCANATTTTGCTTTATAAACCATGGTTGATACAACTTTCTTTACCATGTAAATGGGCTTTAAATATGTTAACCCCTATTGGTACAGACAACACTGACACAAGGGTCACACTTGTCTATATGTTTTCATAATAGTAATTTTTATTAGAATCATAGTTTCTTTGCCCAATATGACAATTTGACCTTAACATGTGTTTTAGGTAATGCTGCACATCAAGTTTTATGACCCTCGTTTAAGATCCTCAAAATTTTGATGAATGGAAGTAAAGGTGGGTTTATTTGAATCATCTGTCACCCTCTAGCAGTTTTGAATACTCAGTGCTATTGAAAAAGTGCAGGCTAATGCTGCTGTCCTGACAAAATTTCCTTCATTGTACCCTGCATGGCGTTGCCCGTCTTCAGTAGCCCAGATGGTGCAGAATAGTAGGACGTAAAACCCCATTCATTTAGTAAAATTGTGCTAATCACTGAATTATTTACATGCCTCAAACTAAATTATAATTTGGATGAACTATTTTTGAGGTTTTGCTTTGACTTTAAAATCTTGAAAGATTATTTGAAAATTCATTATAAAATCATTAACGACTTAGTTATCATTTCTGACAGCTGGTAGTGGGCATATGTTACCTTGCCTGGCAAGCTACATTTGTGATCGGTTTTGGACAATTTAATTGATGAGATTGTCGTGTTGTACTTCGTACTTGTATACATGTATTTGTTTTGCAGGTATTGGATATCTTGCTGCCAGCGAAATAGCTCGTATTGGAGGTCATGTTATTATTGCTTGTAGAAATATGGGTAAAGCCGATGTGGTAAGATTATTGATTTAATTTAAACTTTCAAATTCGTTCATAAATGAAATTAAGATGACCAGTTAAACACCCATATTTATACCGCTATTTGAAGAGGGTTTGATTTAGATGATTGAGTCTTTTGTTCAGACCAGTGGCTGAGCCAAAGGGGGGCGTGGAGAGTACAGCCGCCCCCCTCGCAGCCCGAAAAGCAAGTTTTTCGGGCAAGAATCTCATAAATAGGTTAGAGATTCGGACCTAAACCTAGCTCCGCTACTGGTTAAGGCATTTTAACTATCAACCGTTTTTCGAGACCGGTTAAACTAAAGTTGCTTTAACTTTCTGTAGGATATTTTGACCCCCTATAAACTACTTTATGGATAGAGCGCGTCTGGTTGTTTGCGCATAAAATTGCGTTACATTGTGGGATAATAAGCGTCCTTAGAGTTCCGCCATAATGTAAACAGAAATGGAGTAGAATGATGAGGGATAAGAAAGACGTAGCTGTGTTGAAGCGAGATGAATTGGGCGTTTTTCTATAAGGCTGGGAATCCCATACGCCAGTAGAATTAAGGAAGATAGACATGTGCTAGCATCTATTGCCGAGAGCAGAAATATTTCGCATAAAACTCCTGTTCTCCAGAAAGTGATAGAAGAGAGAAAGAGTAAATTTATTTTGGA